GAGAGCCTATTCTCTACCCCAAGGCCTGAAACGCTATCATCTGTCTGTTGCCTTCTGCTTAAATCATTGCCTAATATATCCCTGAAGGCGTCCCAATTTGCCTTCCAAGGGTTGCGTCTAGGGGGGAGTTGTTTAACCTCTCCCTTTAGCTTGAACCTTATGATCCTGTGGTCTGAYAAGGAGGGCTCCGTCGAGACTCTCCATTGCGAGACCAGTCCGCCTGCAGGTTCGTTGCTAAAGGTGATGTCCAACACCTCCTTTCTACTTATAATTATGAACGTGGGTTCACACCTTACATTCTCTATTCCTAAATTGCTACCTACAATGAGCTCTAAAAGAGACTCACCTTATGCTGCAGTCGGTACTGCCGCATTCCGAATGGTAAGCGTTAGCGTCGCAGCCTATGATGAGGGGGAGCCTGTGCCGTCTGCAGTGCTCTACCAGCCTTTCCACCATCTCCGGGGGCGCTGTAGGTGCCTCCCTTGGAAAGGACGAAGTCCTTGCCCTCAAAGTCCCTGGCCTGCACCACCACCAAGTCCTGAGTCAGAAACTCTGAAATACAGAAGAAATCAATGTTGTTCCTGACAACTATACAACTTCTAGGTCTCTCGCTAGAGAGGTCAGAGATTACCTTGTTTGTCTCTGTTTTGAGGCCTTTTACCCCTCCTCTGTGGACCCAAGGCTCTTGGATCAGCAGTATGCCCAGTTTCTCCACTGTGAACCTGCTAGTTATAACAGCTGAGGCTGCAGCCGCGTGGTGCAGGGACGCCGGTAGTCGCCGTTGGCACTGCCTTCTCAGTCCTGCTTCCGCAGGGCTGCTCCGACACCTCGTCCACCTGCATTCCTTCTACCTCCGGGGCTGCTCCAGGCATTGCCGGTTTGTCAGAGCCTTTCCTCTGGAGAGTCGCAGGCAATGCAGCTCCCTTGCTTCCGGTGGCTGCAGCCCTGTTGGGCCGCATGACCACCGTGCTGAACCTGTAGTATAGGCGGAAGCTCGCTGCCCGGACGTACCTGTACGTCGATGTACAGGTTGAGTCTCCATCATTTCCATATCCTCCATTTTGCTGCTCACGACGAGCAAGGACGAGATGCTGAGTCCCCGGTTCTGGTTTTTCACCAGACCCAATTCGAACTCAGAGGGATTGTCCCCGAACCGAGGGAGGAACACCGTCATGCTGTGCATGATTGGCAAATCTTCCGCCCTCTTCGCGCCAGTCGGCGGACGCCTCATTCACGCAATCTACTTGCAGCACTCCTCCTCTGAATTCTACTCCCAGGAAGGACGCCGCGTAGTCCTCCCCTCTAAACACTTCCCCCATGAGGAGATCCTGGAGCACTGTGAGCTCCTCCGGTGTAAGCGACTCCACCGGGTAGCTGAGAGGCAGTACAGCCATGTGAATGCCTTTTACAGCGTCCGCATATCTGTGCCGCCCCTCCTCCACCCGATGGGGAGCCGGTCCAGATTGTTACTCTCCGGGTACCTTTGGGTTTGTGCCCCTCAACCTTTTTGAGCTGGGGGGCTCCTGCGGCGTAATCTGGCCGCTCTTTCGCTTTGCGGCTTGGGCATACATACGTGTCCGCGGGCAGTGCCCTGCTATCGCCACGCCTTGCGGGCTGGGTGGTGCTGATCGGGCCGCGGTTGCTACTTCCACTGCCTTGCTCGCGAGCCGACACGTTTTTAAACTCCGTTGCCGGGGATGCGTTGCATCTTTTCCTGGCTAGAGCCTCTGCCACCTCCGGGGTCATCCCATCACGGAGGTTCCGCAGGTACCACTTCATAGTGGAACCGCTCATCTGCGCACGCACCGCATTCCTGCGTCGATCATTGCATTCGCCGGGTTGACCAGCGCCTGGGAGGGGGCGTTGCCCACCTCTTCCACGCCTTCTCCTTCTTCTCCTACGAGCACCGTCAAGCCCTGACCGAAGAGACTCACCCGAGTCCGACCCGCTGCGGCTTTCGGCGGGGGTCTTGGCGACGCTTGTTGCTGCTGCAGCTGCACCCGGCGTTTCCTCCAGGCGAGCGCCGCTGCAAGAGGGCGCATCATCATCCTCCCTAGCGTGCTCCTCAAACAGCGCCCGTTCATCTGGCGAGAGAGCGTCAAGGAAGCTAAATTTTCGCCTAGCTCCCTGACCCCCTTTGCCTGCGTTGTCCAAGACCGTTTTCCGAAATTGTCGCCTATTTTCCAGGTTGTCCGAGTTTTTGTTTTTGTTTGTATTCATCTAGTTCTTACTCATTTATATGGGGAACTAGAAGGTCCGCCACGCCAGAGCCCCATGACGCGGTAAGCCCACAGTTACTCCCCAATTCGGCCCGGTGTTGGGGAGGCTCCGTTAGAATACAGCCGAATTTAACCTCCCGGCTTCAACTCATCCAATGGGCACGGGTGTCGCATAACACCCTGGATTAGGAGGTGGTAGCTCTTGGTTAGCGCACGCATGCGGCACCCGTCACCCCGCATGGTCAGTGCTTACTAGCACCAGCCGCACAGGTTGGGGGGCGCCGAGTATGCCGTGGGCCTAAGCCCCTGCACCGCGGCAAGGTGCCTATCATTCGCAGAGGAAGTGTCATGAAATTCTCACTGAACAATCGATACTGGTCTCTTTGGACATGCTTGATGGTGCAAATTCCGATCTCACATTCATGGAGAGCATTATAACTACCGATGAGATGTGGGTTCAAAAATTCATGAATTTTACACGATGATAATGCACCATCGCATTGAGCCACGATTCTGGCCGAATTTAAAGCCAAAATCTCAATGAATACCATCGATCAACCGCCATATTCATCGGATTTGGACTCGTGTGCTTTTCGTTGTCCCCCAAACTGAAATTGCCCGTTTTTAGTCGATCGAAGAGATAAACCAAAATTCGCTGAAGGCCACCCCAAAAAGTGCTCAGGAAATAAACATCTACTTGAAAAATTAAAATTATTACATTAAATATAGTAGTCTTTATACAGTTTAATATCATGGTGGAAAAATTTCAAATCGACCTTCTAAGTAATGTCCTATCCTAAATCCTATTAAATTAAAAACAAAAAAAAAAAAAATGGGCGTGCGGGTGACATACTTTATTGCAATGTATGACACTGTGGTAAGTTTGTGTATTGAATAGAAAAATTTCACAATAAAAAACGATGTGAGCCAAATTTTGTGAATCTTTCCAGAACTTTTCCTGCAGTTACTTCTATATCGTCTCGGAAGATATATGCGTTAAATCACTTAGGGGCTTAATAGGGTTCATCACTACTGCGACCCTGTGTGTTTTAATATAGTGCTTTGTTATGATGGAGAGGTTTTCGTTTAATATCATTTTGTGGGCGTGGCAGTTATCTCAATTTTAACTCAGACGGATCAACTGACCAGATTTTCACCATGCGCCAAATCTTGGAAAAGACCCGCTAAAGGAGAATCGACACACACCACCTCTTCATCGATTTTAAAGCTGCTTTTGATAACGAGAAAATGAGCTGCCTTTGTGCTGCTATGTCTGAATTTTGTATCCCCGCAAAACTAATACCAAAAGCTTTGGCAGGATCAGGACGGACCTTTTCGAACCGTTTGATACCAAAAGAGGTTTCAGACAAGGCGACTCCCTATCGTGCGACTTCTTCAACCTGATTCAGGACAAAATAATTCGAGCTGCAGAACTAAATAGAGAAGGTACCATCTTCTACAAGAGTGTACAGCAGCTGGCGTATGCCGATGATATTGATATCATCGGACTCAACACCCGCGCCGTTAGTTTTGCTTTCTCCAAACTGGATAAGGAAGCAAAGCAAATGGTCCTGGCAGTGAACGAGAGCAAGACGAATTATCTCCTGTCATCAAACAAACAGTCGTAGTATTCTCGACTATGCTCCCACGTCACACCAAAACCAAACTCTATAAGTCTCTCATTATTCCCGTCCTGCTATATGGTGCATAGGCATGGACGATGACAACATATGATGAGTCGACGTTACGAGTTTTTGAGGGAAAGATTTATGGTCCCTTGCGTGTTGGCCACGGCGAATTTTGTATTCGATGAAACGATGAGCTGTATGAGATATACGACGACATTGACAGAGTTCAACAAGTTGAAAGACAGGTGCTACCCTGGCTAGGTCATGTCTTCCGATTTAACGAAAACACCCTGTACCCGCCGGTGGAAGCAGAGGAAGGCCTCCACTCCGTTGGAAAGATCAGGTGGCGCCACGTTGTGAATACGTACATAAATAAGAGTTATTCTTTGTTTTTTAAAGCGTTTTATAAATTTTGTGAGCTTACACTATTTCCATAGAGCTAATTTAATCATTAAATGTATGTACAACAACTTTCATAGATTCAGTTATTTCATGATATTATTTATAAAAAGCTTTCTGCTAAATAAGATTTGCTTTAATGCGCTGTGTAAGAAGGCTGATTTGAGCATTGCAAATATGTGCAACACACACATTCATATGTGTGTACACATGCAAACACCGGTCTGAGTCATTTATCATGGTGTGCAATGCGTGTCAACACTTTAAAATGCCATCATTTGTTTAAAACTAAAAATAACCGCAACAACTTGCAAATGAACAATGCGTCCCAGCGCGGCGCGGACACTTGCTGCTGTACGGGTGTGCTGCGGTGCGAGTGCGAGGCGTGTGCGTGTGCGTGTGCGTGTGCGTATGCGTACTTCACGCTGACATGCGAATGTGGGTTAAGTGATGCCTCGCGTTGTTTGCCCGAAGAAGTTCTAGACGTGTTGGCTTCTATGTTTGTGTGTGTGCTTGTGTATTTGTATGTGTGTAAGCATCTCAGTAAAGACATGGAAAAAATGTATGTAGATATGTGAATTGTTTATCATTATCAGCTAGCACTATTTTTAGGACGTTCCGCAATTGAGGATTCTGCTTTACGCCTAAAACCCGCCAGCTCCCAGTTGTGCTGTGGATTTGTTTATGTGCATACAAGCACACTTCTCTACATACTCATTGTAAATTCCTTTTTTATACTTGAACAAAATTGCAGTTAATATCGGAGGAATAAACAAAATGCCAGAAACTTGCCGCACTTCTGCTACAGAACGCCGAGCGCGGAATTCAAATGAAGCGAGCTGGAGGGAGAGTGCCCCAAGTGTTTGCGATAATAAACAACGAATTGCTTGGACCAGGTGAAAATATTCACACTTACATATTGTTGTTGTTGTTTGCTTTGTCTTTCTTCTTGTACCTCCTCCCGCATGTTTGTGTTGACCCACCCACAACTTTCCGTACTTTTAATTATAAACACTAAAATACATATATATGTATATACGTTCCTCCTATGCATAAATAACCAGTTAATATGTGTGCCTTGGGCGCAGCTAATGTGAATTCAAGTGTATGAGTATACTTGGGGCCAACGCACCGATCCAACACTGGCGCACTTACCCTATAAAACGCTTGGAAAACAAAATATTTGCATACCTTTAGGCGCACGTACAAGCGGTCGCCGCGAGTGTACGAACACAGAATTTTTGAAAAAACGCTCTTATCCGAATTTCTATTTATGCAAATAATAACTGTATTCCATTTTCTTTTAGATTTAAATGCAACGAATCGCAAAATTTGAGACCAGCGACTTCCAATCACAGCGAAAACTTTAAGAACGAGCCGTTTGACGAGCACTGCGAGGATTCTGAGAGCCGCTGTCGTTCACTGAGCAGTAGTGATTCCGCGGTCGAAACGAGTAAGGGCTGTTGCTGTCCGAGTCACTCGGATAAGTCGAAATCGTGTTGGAAAACCAAGCGAAAACTGATAATTCGGCAAAGTTCACATGCTTCCGGCTTAAACGAAAACGGTATGTGACTCTTTAGCTTATCATGCCACAAAATAAAACAATGCTAAGAGGTGTTGTTGCACATATCAAACCTGAAACTCGAAAAATTTAAAAAATTGAACATTTCAAAATTTGATAATTGATTCCAATGAATTTTTATTTTTTAATTAATAGTTAACAGCGACAAGAGGGTTTTTTGAATTTTTTTGTGAGTTTTTTGAATTTATTTTGTACTGAAAATTACCTTAGCTGTAATACCCTTCACAGGTGCATAGCATAAAAGAGTATATGAACATCTTTATCTTGATTTTAATCGGTCAGTTTGTAGGCTATAGTATAGCTATAGGCTATAGTAGTCCTATTTGAATAATATAATCGAAGATGATAGCCCCTCCTTCGACCGTATTCTATGAAAAATTTCGTGATTTCGTGAAGATAGCTTGCGAACTAAAAAGTGTTCCATTCCATAATTTAATTTTCAAACTGAAGAATGGCTCGAAGTTTGTAGCGCATCATTGGATAATAATCTGTACCAAATTACAAGTATGTTTCGGATTGTATGATAGCTATATATAACTCGTGATTCAAGTAGAGGTACTTTTTTCAATAGCCTTATCAGATCACTCGTGAGTTATACCAAGCTGTCATGTTATTTTTGTCTAACATTTCATGAATAGACTTAGTCCCGAACAATGTTTACAAATCGCTCAAATTTATTACGAAAATTCACGTTCTCCTGCTCTTCAAAAGTTTCAAGAATATCCGACGTTTTCAAGCCAAATTTTCTTCCGCGATTAGGCCTATTTCTGGCTCAACGGGTATGTGAAGAAACAAAATTGTTACATTTGGGGGCGAAGACCAACCTAAAGTGAGTTTCATTCAGAATAACCAGCGGTTTGGTGTGGTTCGAGGGCCGGTGGAATTATCGGTCCAAATTTCTTCAAAAATGATGTCAATGAGAAGATAACCATCAATAGCGACCGTTATCACGTCATGTTAACCCGCTATTTGATGCCTGAAATTGGAGCTGGTGATCTCAGCGACGTTGTGTTTTAATAATACGATGCCACTTTCCATATGTTGCTTCAATCAATGGAATTATTGAGAGTACACTTCGGTGAGCAGATAATTTCACGTTTTGTTGCGGTCGATTGGCCACTAAGATCCTGTGATAACACATCGTGTCCTGTGGGGATATGTAAAGTCCAATGTCTATGCGTACAATCCCGCTTCGATTCAGTCTGGGAGCCAAACATCACACGTATCATTCGCCACTTTCGCTTTATCACATTTTTAACGGTCCGACATCGGTGCTTTCGACAAATGAAGCGACAGGTTGGTGTGGCTAAACCGGTTCAGCTCGTCTCGCGGATCATTTATATTATATTTTGTATAGCTTCCGACTTTTCTTTCTGGGTGTTATAAACATCGTGGCATCTTAATATATCCTGTTCAGGGTATAAATTTCTATCATTCAAAGAAAGGGCTTAGTAAATGCAATTGACATCGTTCTGCATTAAACCAATTGATCTTGAATACTTTATTTATATCCTTGTTCAACAATGTTTGCAAGTTTGAAATCACAATGAAAATGAGCATTGCTGAAGTGCCGTATGTGAAACTTCTGTCACGCGAATATTCTGTATTTACAATATTCTGTATTAACAATATTCTGTATTAACAATAACTTGGCGCATTTGATGTTGATACTATAGTGACTGGTTTCCGCTTCCCAAGGAGCGACTCCTTTGTCGGAACCGTCGATATCGAACAACTTCAAATCAGACAACTAAAGGATATTGCTGCGGTACAAACTGGTCGATCAAGTTCAAGTCCTTGTATGTGGACATTTTTATTTGATAAGATATCTTCACGAAATTCAGCACAGATTATTATCCAAAACTTCGCTATGATCTACAAAGACATTCATCCGATCGGATCACTACAACATATACTTGCAATACAAATTGACCGATCAAACTTGAGGCCTTATATAGAATACTGTTTTATCTGACCAGATATTTTCACGAAATTTAGCACCGATTATTGTCAAGGCACTGCTATAACATTCGAATAAGTGGTTGAGATTGGACCACTGTAGCATATATGTAGCTGTCATACAAGTCGAGCGAACCCGATTTCTTTTTGAAAACTTTTTTTTATTTGTGAAGGGTCTTCCAGCTTCGATACAACCGAAGTTAACGTTTTTTCTTGATATTATTTAAATTTACAAAATAACTGTGAAATTATTTCTAATTTATGTTGCCGAGAAATATCGCTTCAAAAATAGACTAATTCTCTAGACAGCGAATGCAGGAATTAATTATGCTCAGAAATATTTACAACTGCACGCGCACATGCACACTCGTGCCGCGCAAAGCCGTGTAAATTAAGTTGGCACACATTTCATATTTCATTCGCGTTCTTCTTCTTCGCCACATCCCTCCGCACGAGCTGGAAGTACGCTCAACATACAAAATAAACTACTATATAAAAATAGGCGCAGCACATCTACACATATGTATATAAATTAGTATAAGTATATAGGAGCATTGTATGTGAAAACTTTAATAATAAAATATGACTTTTGTGTTTTATTGTTAGCCTCAGCGAATTATTTTTAAATCAAGTGTCTCATCTTTTTCTGTTTTGGTTTCTATTTTTCAACAATTGCAGCTAGGACAACCACAGAGGCACCAACCGCAGCATCAGCGACTACATCACAATTGGCAATACTTCGCGGTCGATATGCAAGCTGCGGCGAGCATACGCTTCTAGCCGGTCCACGAGATGTGCAACAGAAGAGCGGGCGTGTGAATAAAAAGACCTCGACATCGCTGCCAACGACGCCGAACTTGAGTCATTTGCGACGGCCGAAGCCGGTGCAATACCAGAAGCTATCGCTGGAGTCCGCGGATGTCGATGATGTGAGACAGTTGACGTGTACGCCGAGACAGCCGTATGCAAACAGCTTGGAACAGCTGCAGATTTCAACAAAGAAGTTGCAAAATACGACGAGCGAAAGAGGCTACACGCTGTTGGGGCAACAGCACGCCCAAGCGCACCAACCAGTACGCGAGCAACAGCAACAGCAGCAGTCGCTGCCGCTGCAACAGCAAATGATCATCGGCAATGTACTGCCGGCATTGGCAGTCCATGGTGATGGTACCAATAAAAGGCCGCATGTACTGGAGGTTGCGCACACAAAGAAAAACGAATTTATATATGCGAATAACGACAACAATAATACTAACAACGAAAATGTGAATGAGAGCGGATCGGTTGAGCATCTTCCCACTTTGACGCCTACCGCATTGGCAACAGCTAGCGATTTGGCAACACAACCACTGATAGATCAATACGCCAGCAGCCAGCCGAATGATCAGAATGATGAAAATAATGGCCACGCGCCCTTATTATTATCGCGGCTGCCATCTCACATGCCATTGTCGGCTTCGCAATGCTCAGTTACCGCAACGTCGACAATACAAACGACTCAACCCGCCAACTCGGCCAACACGGCCCACTCGACAGTTGTTGCCAAAAACACGCTGGCCTTTTGTGAGCACTGCTGTGCAGAAAGAGCTAGCATGGCTAGCGGTGATTATTCTCAGGGCGCATACGCCGAGCGCAAGCGGAATTTCAGTGGTGAGGACCAGGCGCGATGTTATCGCGAGAACACCGATTCAGTCTCCGATCTGTCGTCGTACCGATTCGTTTCCGATGAGGATGAAGTAAGCGCGTGCATCACCGCTAACGAAACAGCTGCCACAGAGAATAATTCCTACAATAACACTAAACTTTACAATATCAAAAGAAACAACAGCAATAGTAATAACAACAACGTAGCACAAGACAGAATATTAGCTAAAAACTGTCGCGTTTTATCCCCCGCACCGTCGCGCAAGCAAACGCACTCGCACTCGCGTTCGTGCTCGTGTACGTCCCCGCCAACGTCGCCGCCGTTATCGCCAACATCGTCGACGCGAACGGGTGGGTTGTTGCCAACATTGTTGACACCCGCCGACACACAAACGACAAAAACGACAGCGACGCGTCGTGCTTCCCCCGCCATTTGTTGTTATACAATTGACAAACCCGTCAGCGTACATTATAACGCGACTGTTTTGGAATACATACCAAATGAAACAAATACATTCTTAGTAACACCTACGTCGGGACAGATAACCGCAACAGCTCCTCTGCCAATTCGTGGCACTTGCACTGCTAAGAGCGCCTATACCTTAGCGCCGGAAGCGCGCGACTCCAGCGAATTTCCATGTCAAGAGGGTCTCCTATCCACGTCTTTACCCAGCGATTATGGTAGTGTGAGGAGCGCTGCCAATAACCTGCAGCACACGCCACAAAAATATAAGCCCCCGCCGCCCGAACCACCTCCCAAACCAAAGCACGAAGCAAGAACTATCTATCAGACAGCAATATATCCGAGTTCAAGTTCGTCACTACAAGACCAATTGGGTGTGTTGGAGACGCGTTTTCATAACGGCGAGCAGATTTGTAGCAATGGTCAAAATATCCAAAGTAAGGTAAAAAAGTTTGAAGATACAAGCGCCTTAATTGAGCCACAAACACAGAGATCTTCAAGCTATCTGTCGCCTTTTATTCCAAAAAGCGTAGGAAATTATACGCTTAATGAGGATTCCAAAAGAACCGAAGAACGTTGGTCACATTCGTTGCGCTCTCTTGAACGCTCCGTTTCACCAGAGCGCTGTGAGCTGTTGAGTTGCTTTGGAACGGTTAAAAATACCCGAAGCGAGTCCGCAAACACCACAACGAAAATAAATAAGCACGACGAGCGACGAGCAGATGACGCACGGCGAAGCAAAGAAAATAGCCGTCACGGTGAAGACTGCTTAAAAAGAAACGATAGAGACAATAACGACGACAAGGAAACGAAATTTGTCGCGCGTAGCTTAAGCGAAAGCAGCTGTTCGGTGTCGGTGGCAACGTCGATTGCCAATGAAAAGTGTGCCATCGAAAACAAAAATAATCATCAGCAGCAGCAGCAACCACGTCCCCAACAAAAACAGTCACCCGTGCAACCACCAACACCACCGACACATCACCATAATAATATTAATAATAAACGGCGTAATTGTGGAGACTCCGAACAAACTCAACCGAGTGCAGCCAACGGGAAAAAATCAGCCTCGACAAGTGTTAATTCTGTCGCCACTGTAACTAACGGTCTGCTCAACGCGTCTAACACATCTGACACGCACACCGTGTTCAGTGCTGGCAGCAGCGCCTGTGGGGAGTGCAATAACAACTACAACTGCAGGGCAAGGAGTCACGCGGAATATACGCGTTCGGTGCCCGCATCATCTGCATATCCTTTTACCGCAAGTTCGGAGTCGTCGTGCCAAAGTTCGCAATCATCAGTAGCCTACGCAACTTCGCCGTTACTGAAACACACGCTGCGCTACGATAGTTACGGTCGCTTGAAATCGGAACGCGTTTCGCGCCTTCCCACAATCACCAGGTCACTAGCCAATGGTCGCAAAGCGGCTAGTGAGACGCGTCTGCACCGTGCATTTCAAAATGTTTCTACCACGTCTAAATATGACTTGCCCACATCTTTGTCGGCCACTAATATTAAGCTAACACCGACTTTTTGTCGTAAATTCAATTATTTAAGTGACAAATTCGAGGACTGTGTGGCCGAATGTGAAGAATTCGAGTCAGAAATCGAGTCTACAGTTGTTGAATGTGAGAACCCAAAGCAACAAAAGCGGGACACTATTGAAGAAGTTGTGCAAAACCTTGTGCCAGCTGTCACCAATGCGGGACAAATAGAAGCAAATACGACAGATGTATCTCAATCGTCACCTGTGCGTAATGCCAGCACTTGCCACGAGTTCGACAAGGAATTGGACTTGAATTTTACAAATACAGTGCCACCACAACAACAGATCTATAAATCTTTTAGTGATACTCAAAATTTTGTGTCTATTCATAAAGAGAACCAAGAAAATAACAATAATAACAATAATAACAATAACAACAATATAACTGGGGTTAAATCAAAACGCTTTTTTAGTGACTACTCGCTGAAATCGGACTTTGCCGAGTCAGACAGTAATTTGCCGTGTCGGTGTTCTGCTAAACAACTTGCATCACTGACCGAAGCGATATCTCCCACCTCGCCGACGTCACCGATCTCATTAAAGTCATCGAAATCTTCTGGTGGTTTGAATCAAAAGAATTCACAATCTCTGCCAAGTGTTCCGCAGTCGAATGGTATACAAAGTCCATTATGGCTTAGTAGTGAGACCATCGAATCGTCGCGCGAGAAATCTTTTGTCGACGATTTGCAATCGAGTTGTAGTGATCAGACAACAATCTTTCATTGGGATAACGAATTTTCGCATTCTGCCACATCTTTATCTTCGACTACACAAACCGCTACGGAGAGTGGTGGCAACACTCTACACAGACCTATAGTACTCAAACGCATTCCAGCCATACAATCGTTTGGATATAGTCCATCAATCGAAACAAGCTCGCTGGGTGCTAATGCGCCTGAAAACGACGAAAGGGAGGTGAGTACTAGTGCTTAGTCGATGTAACTCAGGTTGAAATATAAAATTATAAATCCATCTCTCTCAAGGGCTTTAACACAGGGGTTAGTGTAAAAATAAACGTAAATACTAGGGTATGTAGAGAAAAATTACTGTAAGAGAAATGTCAGTTCTCCTTTCATTTCATACAAGTATATACATATAGTAGCCTATAAAAAGGAACATTTCGTATCAGAGATAAAGAGATGCTGAACTCTCCTCTCACTTGAAATTGAGAATGTAAACATCTATCCGACTTTGACATTTGACTGAATTGGTAAGGTTTTGACGTTTATCAATTGGGAAGACTGGAACGGCCTAATCGAAATCCTACCGAAAATACATTCGGGTATCGAACATTTTATATTGAATATGTATATTTGAGTAGGGGGCAGTGTCGACCAGATTTTATATATTTTTGCTCATCCCATATACGAGTACTACTAATATGCCACATACTCAAAAAAATGTTCCCTCGTTTTCACTTAGGTACCTTACATACAATCACCAATCATATGGAGCAAGGTCAAGTGGATGTCCGAAAATCTTGATAAAAATTAAAGGGGGTTTAAGTTATCGAGCAATTCTATCTATTTTAGGCAAAAAGTTACACTGTTGTGAATTAAACATGTTCTTCAATTTTCATTGAGATTAGGCAAATATTGGCGGATTTATCCAGCATAAAGTCATCTAGAAGTTCTAAAATCTTTATATTAGGTATATGGGGGCTCAGGAGAGTATTGATCCGAATCAACCCATTTTTGATACAATGAAATACTATTGCCAGAAAAGCATTCTGTGTGATTTTCAATTTCATATATCACACATTGAACGATATTTTTGGTCAAAAGTCAACTATTGGTATCGGGTCCACATATTCGGTACCTAGGGGTTTGAACAGTTTTAGTTTAAGTTGAACAATTATTGGTTAAAAAGGTGGATTACTTTAAGGGAATTATTACCGCAAAATTTTATTCCGTTATATTAACTAATTTATGACAAAGAAATATTAAAAGAATCTTACATACTTAATTTGATCTAACGGGTCTAGAGATATGGGATTTCATCAAAAAGTGGGCAGTGCCACGGTCATTGTCCAATTTTCACACCGGCTCCTTATACCATTTATATACCACTCATCTGGAATAATTTAGCAGGATTTCAGTATTTAATTAAAAATAATAATAATAATAAAGCAGTACTCATTTTATGCAAGTGGCCAACCTAATTCAACGAGCTTTAAAGGGAGGGAAAGATGGGCAAAATGTTTAAGCTTAGATGTGAAGTAAAAACCTTTTAGTTTAGTAAAACAAATAATTTATAGCTCGACCTCCCCCAAGACTTAATTAACCTTGATATTATTAATATTAAATACATACTATGTTGTCCAGAATCCATAAAAAATATTTTCCAGAATTTACTTCACGAAACACAAAAATCCTCTTGCAATTTCGAAAACAATAGAAAGTTTCGCGAATAAGCACGTGCGTTCTGAACGAAGTATAGGTTCCGAATACTAGTGGGCAATATATCGGCCACTTAGGCACTTAAAAGAAGTCAATTTTGAGTAGCATTGCTGAAGTTTGTAATTTTCATTTTTGTTCGGTTTTTGAAGGAAAATGTGCCGCTCAAGATCACTATAAAAAATGTAAACCAATGAAAATTAATGGGAATGTGAAAGTTAGTCAGATGTGTGCAAATTTCCAGAATTTTTGTTTAATTACAAAAAGTGGACAAAAGTAATTAAACGTTAACTTTCGTCAAATAAATAAGTTTTCCTTAGAAGAACTTAGTTCCAATGGTTCAGTTTGTATGACAGCTATATACTATAGTGATATCGGCGGTTCCAACAAATAAGCAGCTTCTTAGGGAGAAAAGGCATAATTTCTCAAAATTGGTAATCGATATATAGACAGACGAACAGACAAAGGATGTATGTATATATTTTAAAGGGCCCGATATTTCCTACAGGGTGTTACAAACTTTGTAGAAAACTTAATATACCTTGTTCTATCGAAGGACAAATCCGGAAAGAACTAGAGTATTTTATTCTTGGTAGACCAGTATCTAAAAACAGACCAGTATCTAAAATGAACACTTGTCTCTGATATTTACGTCCAGTAGATCTGAAAAATTATCTTGTTAGAATTACATCCCGGTAAGATTTAAGAGTCTAGGAAGATTATTTTCAAAACTCGTGTTCTGTGCGGCTAACCAAGCATCTACATTTCTACATTTCTACATTGAAATCATTCATTTCCAATGAACATACTTGTAATCATTTAAGTGCGAATGGTTGAAACAACCTTCATATATTTACATAGGTATACATACATGCGAATCAAACATTTTATTAGAATAAATTTTTGTTGACTGAATTGGCTATAGCTCAGGCAACTAGTTATTTTCATTTACCGTGCGATTCTGTACCGTGATACAGTCACAAGGCTCTAAATTTGAGATTTTAAGTTAGATACAATTTTTGTGACTTGAGACGATTTTGCTATTCTGTAAGTGACACTCACAAAATCTATACAGAGATGTTTTTTTACAATTGAATATACATAGATAAAAATGTCGATAACAAATACTATATAAACTTTTGTATAACATAGTCAAAATCATATTTACCAATAAAAATAAAAATATATGTTGACTTTCTTTCATAAAATGTACTAAATTTATGTATAATTGATTGATTTTGGACCTTTTCGTGTTTGAGTTGCCTACAAAATATAAAAAACGACAATTGATTAACATCTATGATGATCTCTATTCAGTATATTCAAAATGGCAAACAAAACTTCTTTGTAGTTTTGTGTTTTGCTCACTAACATGTCTCAAATTTGAGGCAATATTTTGAGACTATCGCTAGGGACTGTTTAGTGAATATCACTGGCCAGCTCGGAACCAGAAAACGTCGCGGTTTTGGAGAGATAAGACCTTAAGTTTAAGGCTGAATAAAATTAGTAAAAAATTGGGCACAGGATGGTGTTTAATACAAGCGCTGGCGGCGGTCAGTTGTCATAAATTCTGTTCAAATACAAAACTTGAGCAGTCTTTCGCAACAAAATTCACTGATTAGTCTTGTGTCTAACTAATATTATATTTAATGGAAATCAGATGGTTTATTTGAAAGCAATTTCTTGAACGTATTAAAAGAATTCTATCAAAGGCCAAGTTCGGGTTCAACTGAACATTCTATACTCTTTCAACTTGCAGGAATAAAAGTCAGAGAAATACCTTAAGGTGTAAAACGTCAACCAGAGAAACGAAATCTGAGACATTTTATATATACACATACTCTATATAACTCATACACTGGTCGACAAATTCGGCAGAAGATTTGTTAGAAAAACGAAAGTCATATGTAATATATGGGTTGGGCTAGTATCTTGGTATTATTGCCAATACCACATACTATTAACAGGCCACATATTAAAAATTGTTTCGTTTCATTAAGGTATCTCACATACAATCAGCAAATGTATAGAGTAAAGTTACTCGGAAGTTCGAAAATCTTTATATTAGGTATATGGGGCTCAGGGAAAAATTGACCCGCTTCAACCAATTTTTGATACGCACATATACTATTATAAGGAGAGGAAGGTAAATCAATCGGGCGGGTACTGAAATATGTGATTTCACCTAAAATCGTCCACTTTATACTCCGGCTTTCATAAAGGCCTAGCATACCATCTCGGGGGTAAAATTTAATGGCTTTAACGAATTTAGTTGTTGAATTATCGCACTTTTAGTGGGTTTTAATGGTACCGTTACATGGGGAATGGTCGGGATTATCTTCCGTTTCATTCACTTTTACAGTGGCGATAGGTGTAGTACTTAAGGGATTTGTTAAGAAGTTGGTTATTGCAGTTACAGCTTGCACGGACGGACGGCCGCACGGAGAGATAGGCTCTGGTATTGGTGATACAAACAACCGTTAGGTGAACAAAACTTTTATACTCTGTAGCAACATGTTGCAAGAGCATAAAAAGTATTCCAAGTGCACGCTAGTGCATACATATATGCGTATGTACCATACATATATACATACATATAAGAGTGCATGTATTTGTTATATCTATTCTTCCCATTCGCAATATGTACTTGAAAGCACGTATGTACATAAGTATGTGGGTCTATAAGACTACAAAGTGTGGCAATCACTCTCCGGCAAGCTGAATATTTTATGAAAACAAACAAAGCTATTTCGCTTTTCACAAACTCGATGCCACACATTCGCACATACAAGAGTCCGTTTAGCAGAAACAAGCGAATTTTCCATTCATTTACTCACCCTTATTTATCTTTATTAGATTTGAATTTCGATATTTATTGAATCGCCATTAATGGACTGGCTGGCACGCCGCACTGCGCTGAGTTTCCAGCCAACTTTTAATATGATTTATGACAAAAACAACTTGGACCCCTGTTTTCGCAGGCACAAGATTGTAAATCTTCGAAGACAAGTGGAAACTATAACAAAATAATATTTTTCTTCGAAGAAATTTAAGTTGCTGAATTTGCGTATTGACATACTTACACACATACATACATGCACATCTACTAAAATGTAAATATTATATTGTGTACACAGTTACATTCACGGTTTATGCATTGGTCATTGATACCGTGACGTAACTTGGAAATGCTTTCTCTACAGGTGTTGAAACTTTATATACCCTTTATATGTACATATGTATATTCCGGTTCACTTTAATAGGAGAACATTTTATTTTCAATATACCGACCAATATTTCTGCTTTTAGACATCGCAAAAACTCCGTTTGAGCTTGGGTCTAAAGACGGATCTATATTGAAAAATAAAAAAAATGTTGTGAAAATTAAAAATATACCTGTCATAATGTTTTTATATGTGGTGTTTTAAATTTGCTTCACTTGAATAGCAAGAGTAGTTTCAATACAATAATTTATTCAGATTAACCATAGAGGTGTAAAGGGTTTATTCAAGTTTTATG